TGTCTTGACCATTCTAATAAATTGAATCTGCAGATTTGAGGCTACAGTACATGCTCAGAGTAGAGTAGTACTGTACAGAATGAAAGTTTCCCATACTGGAAATTAACATTTCTTAGAATTAATAAATAATGAATACTGAGTTCGCTGGACGAACAAGTTAGGTGATTGTGTTAATTCTACATGCTACATCAAGTTAATTCTATTAACTGATCCAAATATTTATAATAAATTACAACAAATTCTAATTTATTATTCATATTTCCCTTGAGCTAATTTGCTATAGTGACTTTGATCATTAACTTACATTGTATGGAGAGAGAGAAAAAAATCATTCCTCAAAGTATCTTCCTACATGTTTTACACAATTCATTCATGCATGTGTAGAATGACACAAGGGTGAACTACCACTGTAACGACCCTTTTACTGGGACAAATATTTTTTACTAGACTAAATCGGATGATCAAATCAGCTGGTCACCATCCAGACTCCACTGTTTCTTTTGGTGGATGACAATCAGCCCACTCCATCCACGGAAAGTGAGGCAGCAGCGTATTACTTGTTTAAGATGGCTGCTGTGATAGCCAGGTGTCAGGTCAGTGCAATCTGCTCCGAGCAGGCCATGTATTGATCCTTCACACGGGACTCTTGCAGAGATAAAAACCTGCGTATGACATGTGAAAGGGTGAAGATTCTCATCTCAGGGGCTCGCTCTAGTACGGGGAAGTTCAAGCTGGCCCACACCGAGCCAGCAGCAGCAGCAGGCTTCTCTTTCTCTGAGCACATGGGCTTGAGAGGCCTGTTTAGCATGCAGATTCAATAGAGAATGCTAAACACAGCCCTTTTGAAGGGCTTTAATAAACTGGACCAGATGTCTTGTCAGCACTAGGGCCGCTTCTTCTGCTGCCGAATGGACTCGTCTGGATACACGCATTTCCATGTGACAGACAGCAGTAATTCATAAATGATACATTGTGCATTAAGGCCTCTTTGAGTGACAGGTGACCTTTCATGTTGAGATTGTGCTTTTTATTCTGAAGGATCTCCAGAGAATTGCGAAACTTTTTTAAAGCGTGAGGACAGTACGACAGGCTCTGGCACTCTTCCTCCTCAGAAAGCCGTGAAGTGGCAGTGCCAGTGGAGTCGGGTTCAGGGAGAAAAGAGAGCGGCACATCCATTAACGCAGATTCCCTCAGGCCATCTCTCCAACTTCAAACACACCAACATTAAAGTTCCAATAATGCGGTGGGCTGATTCTCCCAAACGATGCTCGCACATCATAGCCGAGGTGTGCTAATGACGGGAGTAATGCTGAGAGACGTACGCACGGATGGTCCATTACCTCTGCACTGACAGCATCTAAAGCTACCCAGGATGCTGTTGGGCTTGAGCTAGTCTAACCACCATAATGTTTGTTTTCAAAGGCATTTTATTTCTTGCTACGTCAAGCTATGTTTACAGCAATATTATATGATGAAATGTGTATAACAAGCCATCCGGCAGAGCGCGTTGATTAGTTTTGATTTTAACCTCACAAATACTGTGGCAGTTTTTTTTTTTTTTACGGTTTACACAGTTTTATTTATATCCTGTTTTATTGGTTACATTATAATTATATAATGTTACATGATAATTGTATGTTGATATCATTTTATATATATAAATCTATATTACAAATATATTTGTTTTTTACACTATGGATGTGTGCATATGTATTATATGCATATTATAAAGTATTTATATTTTTGTGTTTTAAAATACACTGAGATCATATTTCGTTATAATTGTCAAATTACAATTTATATTGTGTAATATCAAATTTAATGTAATTTAATTTCAGATTTTTTTATAGATTTTTTTAGATATAAAGTGTATATATCTTATAAAGTGTAAATACACTTTAGTAGACATACTAAATAAATGCTAAATTGTGTAAAAATACTTAAAAAGAAGATTTTGTCGAATAATTTATTTTTTCACATTGTTGTCACAATGACATTTCACTAACAATGTGATGTTCCCCGGAGTTCATTTTGTGATATTACAGCTATCAGATGTCCTAACTTTTGATGACAGGTTTTTTTTATCCACATGCTGGATTTTAGATTGGTGAAGATGATGACATCTGTAATCCATTGATGATAGCAGATGGATGTTTTGTAATGTACAATATGCTCACATGTGTCTGGTGACAGAACAAGCCTCTCAGATTCCCTGTGTGAATGGTGTAATAGCTGACACAGTCACACTGAATGCATGAAGGTCACTTCTCTCTACTCTCAGCTACAAAAGCCTCATCTGTTTTAATGCAGTGCTCTGAGCTTTAGTAAGAGCCAGCGCTCCCCTAGCAATGCACCCTTCTCTCGTTCACACACTCTCAATTGTGTTTCTCTCTCTATTTTCTCCCTCTCTGTGTCCTTCTATCCCCCTTAATCTCACCTGTACTGTATCTCTGAATTATACTCTCAGTGCAAGAACTGTATCGAAGAAACAGGCCCAGTGTAGGGTTTCAGGTTTAAACGTGAAGGTGTTTCCTTACCAGCTCTGTATTCATTCACACAATGAACTGAGGAGCCTCTCTTGTTTCTCGGTAAGAAGAGTCCAGACAAGACCTTTGTTTTCCACTTCATCAGATGCAAGCATTTTTTTTTTTTACTCCTGTCCTCCTGGAACAAAGGCTGGAGAGCAGCCATCACATTGGGCTCAAATGGCTCTCTTAGACCGTCCTGTGCAAGCAAGGGGAAAATCACACCATGTCTTCAGATTGCCTTTCTGGCCCCATTATATACTTTATATTTGTTTTTTGGATGTCTTACAATTATAAATTTCATACATAAAGTAATTTTTTTAATGTGGTGGTTTTTTGGACATGGTACCATGGATATAGCACATGGTTTTTTGATGTTTTTATCACAATATTTTTTTTTTTTATTACTGGTAATTTTTTATTTTTATTTTTTTTTGCACTGTGGTATGTAATGAAGCATTATGATATTACCATCTGGTACTTTCACCAAACCTGATGCTGCTATGCCAAGTTACTGCCACAGTACACAGTATTTTATTATTATTATTATATTAATAACTTAAAAAAAAAAAACAAGTACAAGACTCTTAGTTTTTCTCTATGTTATCATAGGCATAAATTCAGAGTGGGACATGTCCCTACCACTTTTTGCCAAGGTCGATATTGTCCCTACCACTTTTGAAACCTCTCGCTGCACGGATATACCTAATGCAAATGAAACTCATCCAGTTGACATTAATTTGTCTCAAATAAGAGGCGATTTGGCCCTGTAATGTTGTTTTTGAATTCATGCTGAGTGTTTGTTGCCAATGTTATCAGTAGCGAATGTTCTCTTTTGGCTCGTGCACAGACTTTACACAGACGAGTGCTTCAATGTATCGCTTAATGCCGATGCGGAGATACTCTGTTCTATCTGTTTAATTCACAAAACAAAATGTAGACAAATGTGTCCCTGCTCTTGATATAGAATCATTGATTAACATTGATTTTAAGGAAGAAGAAAAAAACGATACACAGGCGGATTAGAATCCGTAACCGCTGACACGCTTCACAAAATTTCTACCACCAGAATATTAGGTAATACGGACACTGATTGTGAGTCCATGTATGTATTCATTAACGTGAAGAAACCTGGGACTAACAATATTGTATTATAGTAGTTGTAAGAATGCAACTATTACTTTAAACGTGTTCTGTCTCGACTCATTAAACTTAATTTACTTTTGAAACTATTTTTCTACAATTGTTGTTGGATATATCTGATATAGCATTGCGTTACCCCCCCAAAACACAAAGGGTTGTATTTGTTGCATTTGTTCAGAGACTGCCCTCAGTATTGCCATAAACAAGATGTATACGTATTAGTGCTCCTCCGAGAGATCTTGCAGTTGTTCCTGTATGAGGAAGGTGGGCCAAGGTGCCCTTTGTTGTATTGGGTTGTCACTTTGAACTCTACTTGCTCTCTGATTCAAGTGCCAGTGCAATTATGAACTCAATTTGCCATCATTCATTCTCATCTCGTAAAACCTTAATCCTATTTGTGCCTCATCATACTCTCCATTATATCAAGCTTAGCCTTGTTTACTCCACATGGAGGAGGAACATGCATTTTTCTTTTTCTTTCTGTTGTGTTGTAATGCTGAGATTTACTTATATAGAAGCTCCAAGAGCCTGCTATCATTATGTGGTTATTGGTTAATTGTTCAGGGTTCGAAATTAACACCCGCCAAATGTGAAAAAAATCGGCTGTGGTGGTGAAAACTATCAAAACTCTTGCCAATTTGCCATGTTACTTATTATGTTTACTCACTTTGCTGGATAAGTTTGTGTAAACCAAATTTCCGCTGATTTAGCGCAAATGCTGAACTCGTGAGTTATCCTGATATATTAAATACAGCGTATTGCGCAGAATCTGCTTATATCTGCCTTACTTGAACATGCACTTCACTATGCAACAAATACTGTAATGGCCGGCTTGTTCGGTTGCATCGAAGCTAAACCGAAGATTAAAAAGCATTTGGTTAACCGAAAATACATTATTTTCCAAGATATTCTACATCGTTTTGATGTTCTTTGTACTGTGTTGATCTGTCCACCTTAAATACATTTTTGTTGATGAGGATGAAAGAGGAAGAGAGGAGATGGCTGGATGACAGGATTTAGTTTGGATAAGAAATGAATATGAAATCAAAATTTTATATATATATATATATATATATATGATGATATGTAGTTAATCTGATTTATTTATTTGTTTTATTTTTTTGGCTAGTACAAATTCTGAATGGCCAGTAACTTCAAAATTTAGCAGCCAAATTGGCCGGTGAGTGAAAAATTTAGTTTCAAATCCTGTTTGAGTTATATGTTCCTGGTAACGTTAAGAAACGAAACTCAAACCAAGTGATAAACCATGTGAGATGCTCTAGTCTCAAAAACTGCACAAGTTTTGACTATCATTGTTGTCTTATTCTGAAGGGATTCTTCCTGACCGTGTCCTTGGAGTCGATCCTGAAGATAGCCAAACACGCTTCTGAAAACAACAAGATCTTCTGCTTGAATCTGTCGGCTCCATTCATCTGTGAGTTCTTCAAGGAGGCCCTGATGAAGGTTATGCCCTATGTGGACATCCTTTTTGGCAACGAGACGGTGAGTGTGTTTGTGGACTCACATGACATGAAAGTCAAAAATAAGCTAGTTCCTCCTATCAGCCCATGTCATCATGCAACACTTATCATGTATTGTACAGTTCTTGCTGTCTGCTTGATGTTGTCAGTTCCTTTAGATGGGTCAAATGAGAGATTGCACATAGGCTTGAATGGACAAGTTTTTATTTTTTTAATTATACATGTAGAATAGTCATCTCACCTCAAATGCATCGCCATCCAGCACTAACTGTACTCATTGTGAGAGTAAAACCACTCAGATAGCCTGCAGACTGGGCCATAAACGGCTTCCTACCTCAGCGTTTAAGACTAATGTTCTGAGTCATCGTGGTCTCAGATCCACGCTCTATTCTATACGTGTGGTTGGTATGTGTTACAGACTGGCAGTGTGAGTTTAGGGTGTTTGATTTGTGCTAAAAGTCAGACCTGTCAAGTTAAAACTCTATTTATAAATATCGTATGGGTAGGGATGGGTGATTGAACAAAGAATGGTGGTGTGAATAATTGTATTTCACGATAAAGGTATTGCTATATATGACTTGATATAGTTGTTTTTTGTTAGTTTGTTTTGTTTTTTGCATAGAAGTTTTTTTTAATATTTGTATTTAGCGTTAAATCTAGGGTAGGCAATTTCGGAAAAGCTAGAAATAGAAAGCTAGCTTTGAAAGCTTAAGATCCCAACCTCCCTTCACGCCTCCTCCAAAAACACATGATCCCAGCACAGTCAGAGCAGAGTCTTGTTGTTTTGGTTCAAAAAGGACTGTTAAAGGTGGCTGCAGTTTGTTTGCAGCACGCAGGATTGTCTGTCTACAACTCTTGCTGATGAACATGCTGATGACGTTTGATTTCTATGCAAGCAGGATGCGTGGAGGTATGGAAATTCGGACCGAATACAACAATTGAATGGACATTTTTTTGGTCCTAAACCTTCCACAGAAAAATGAACGGAAAACATTTAATTTATTTGTTATAATATTTCTCAATTTGATTTCTTTTGTATAAATACTAATATAAATAAGTAAATACATGTGTTTTAAATAATAAATCAATCTGACTTCACAAGTTTTGAATAGTAGTGTATAAAAGGTACTTCCTTAATCGATTAGTTTTCTTTATTCAGAACTTGATTGACACAAAAGAAAAAGATGAAATAACAATACAGCTTCACGTTATGTAGCACTTAATGACAATTAAAGACAAAAAGAAACTGCAGCACTCAATGAATAAATGTGGCACATATCTGTATTCTGATTGAATGAATCACATTCAAAACTTTTCTAAAATAGCCAATATACTGTACACAAACCAGTTCAATATTAACATTACACTGCAAACATAACTTAAGTTTCTCATTTTTAGACATGTTTAGCATTGTATTTTCATGTTTCTCATTTTCTAGTTCCTCTTTAACTGACAGCCACAGTTTTACTTTTTCTCAGGCTAATTAAATAGTTTATATGTGGCGAGTAGCTGCAGTCTTTTTTTGGGCGGTATTAATGCGTGTTAGTCTTTATGTATGCTTAGCTCTCTGTTGGTTGGTATGAAGTGTTTTGGCAGCTGGAGCTTGTCTGAATGCGTGTGTGTGGGCGGGATCTAACACAGACAGGCAGGCCTTTATCTGTGCTGACAGGGTAGGCGCAGCGAGAGACGTCCAGGCCCTGCAACAGCCTCACGCCCCCTTAACTGGCACACACTGAGTGTGTAATATCCAGGGAACGGCGTTGGTCTAATTGAGTCCTTCCCTGCTCCCCTCCTGCCTGCCTGCATGACATGAACCAGAGAACGTGAAACATTTCAGGAAATGTAATGGCCTCCAGTTAATTAAGTGAGAGAGCCGTGCAGTAAGAGCCAAAACCAGATGGCGCTGAATTTATGCTCGCCGAAATCGACGCGCACACACAGGCGCGTACACAAACACATGCGTAATCTCGAGCAATTTGCCCTCCGTTTGCCACATACATGATAAAATTCAACAATGTGAATTGTCTGTGTCATTACAGATGAATTTGTTGAGCAGAAGGCTCAGACAATGTAGATAAATGGCATGATTAATTGGAACAGAATGAATAACCCTGACTGATGTTGTATAAGCAGTGATTAACTCGTGCTCAGAGCTCAGATTGTTTTAAATAACAGGGGAGTTAAAGCCATGATTGCTGGGAGGTTACGAAATGATTGAAATCGCTCCTCCGCTGCTTATGGGAGAGAGAGAGAAGGAGAATCAAGGAAGGAGGGAGACAAGAACTTGAAAGAGTTTACTTATTGTGAGGATCTACCCAAAGGCCTTCTGCCTAGCGCTGTATTTTGAATAATTATTATTCACGTCTCAAAAGACACACAAGGAAATTGGAATCTTTTAACATGCCCCAGAACAAATGATCTTGGACTTTGCATCAGAACAAGCTTTCTTGTTTCCCTGTGTGTGGCGTGTTAATGTTTCTTATAAAATAATCCGTCATTTCCGGTCCTCCAATATAATTGGCTGAGTGGCGTTCCAAGGGCACTAATATTCAGTCGAACAGCTCTGGGATATTTTACTGTTTGTATCATGTTTGCATGTTGTTTTTGGCTTCATGTGGAATTATTTTCATTCGGGATGTAGGCTATATCACCATATCATTATTGGATAATATTACTTTATTCATTTATAAATTATACTGCGTCAACCATTACAGGATATTTGATTGATATTTCTTTCTACTATTTTTCACATTTGTTAATGATACTGTTAATTGTAATTTTTTACACTGTACATTTACATATGAACATGTAGCATTTAAATGATTGGTTTTGGTTGTTAGTGTGTGTTTGTGTATTTTTATTTATTGATTAATTTATAAATTAAAATATAAATTATTTTTTACACAATAGTATATAATTTGAATAACTGCTAATTTAATTGTGACTTATCTATAGTTTTAATATCTGTGCATCCCTAATTTTTGTGGGCTGAATTGCCCACATTGTATCTAAAATGTAAGTTACTCAAGTATTAACTTTTTTATTGCACTGTTGTTTTAGCTAATTCAGCAGAATTCCAAAAATATGATTTTTTTTGAATAAATATTTTGGCAAATGTGATTATACTAAAAATAAAACTGCAGTAACTAACTCATTTTTCCATATTTAAGTTAAACATTACACAAATGTTCTGCCATAACAGGACAGAAAGTGCAGAAAACCTCCATATTCTTTCCGGGCCTAATTATGACTTTCTAGTGCTCTACATCTACAGTAGACTCATACGTCTGTGCTTGCTTTGTGGCAGGATACGTGAGCGTTTGCATAACTACAGTAATATTTTCTTGTGCTGGAGTGTTTGTCCTCTACTGATTGCGTGTAGGTGACGGACAGTTCATGCAGGAAGCCCGAGGCAATGAGGGATATGCCAGACATTGGACCCCCCCCATCTCCCAGCTGATTCAGACAGCTGCACGCACACACACTCACAAACATTGAGAGACAGATGTCAAATTCTAAAAAATCCTGTAGACAATCAAACACGGGTATTTCCAGAGCTCTGAGCCGTGGCAGGCCCCCTCTGAGATGCTTAGATGTCTTCCTGAGACATTTGGTGATGTTTTACATGGTTTGCAAAAAAAATGTTTTAAAGTAGTTTGGAAGCAGCTGTCTGAATTCTGAGCAGAAGGAAAGAGGGACAGGGAGGGAGAGAGAGAGAGAAGCAAGGTGAGGTAATTAAAACAGTGCTTGAGCTGGATGCTGTCAGGGAGACTCACGCGACGCACACTCTACACGAGTCCTTTACTGCATCACTCACTGCACTCAATTAAAGCCGTCTGTCTGCTCTCAACCCTTATAGAATGACCTGAGAGACAGTTAGGAGCGTTAGGACAAGTGATTTGCTCTCAGGGAGCAAAGACGTTAGCAAAAAAAAACTAACCAAGATTCCCAAGTTATTTATTTATTTATTTTCATGTTTAGGTTTGGATGATATTTGAAACGCATATTATAAAGGTTCCCTATGGTAATGGAAAACTAATCTAATTGTTTTATTTATATTATTAAATTATTGTACTACTATTTGTAGTATTATTATACTATATTATTATTTTAATATTCATATTTTCCAGGCTTGGGAAACTTGTGGAAGTTAATCAATTCTTATAAATCATGGAACAGTAGTGGAAATGTATGTATTAAATATGTATTTTTTTAATAATGCTTAATTAGGGAGTTGATCTGATTCTGAATTAAAAAGATTTTTTTTAATCTTCTTTATACACTATTCACAAACAACCAAAAAGGTAATGGAAATTCATAGCTTGTATTTAAAAAAGCCCCAATTAAAAGAATGAGCTATATAAAAATATATACATCTAAAACCCCATAAATTACTGTTTTGTGTGCTCTTTACAGAAAAACATTTTTCTATAGATTTATAGCCCACTCAAGTCCATTTTTATATCTCAGGGATGATAGTTGTGGGCTTGAATGTGTCGCTGCTGGATCAGATTGGGTCACAATAGGGAAGTTCAGCTAACAACTATAATCGGAGGACTCAGGAGGCTTTCCCCAGAATATCCCTCACATTGAGCGACAGAGGCCATTTTCAGCTTGATGGGGAGTTCCATAACACAGATTTGAGGGTGAGAGTGAACCCGGGCTGGCACTGACTTTAATAGATACAGCGGCAGAGGCGCCTGGCTCTCTTTAGAGACGCAGAGTGATGATGGATGAAAGAGACGGTATTGTGTTGAGGGCCGATCAATAGCTGCCACCGAGCTCAGTGTATTTCTGTCACTGTGGAGTTGAGTGTAGGATGTCAGCTGGTTGTTGCCAGGATGATTTGGGAAAGTTTAACACCAGCCTGCTCTGACGCCCCACACATCAGTCATTTTGGTTAACAGAAGGGTTTCACGGTCATTTCTGCCACACACAGTGACACTCTCTCTCTATCTCTCTCTCTCACACACACACACACACACATCTGTGCATGCATGTTTCATATTGATTCTCTCCTTC